CAAAATATAATATTCCCAAAAGAAAAACGATAAAAGAAAAAACAAACATACTAACACAGTAACAAGTTAGGGTGACTCTTCTTAATATTAATTGAATCGTGAGGTATTAAATTAAAATTATGACATTTTAGTTTTAGGTGGTAGTCATCTTATTTTTGCATAAATTGTGAATCGTAGATTCTTGTAAAAACAAAATGCAATATAATACCAATTAAATAAATATCAAGATATTTTCCTCATATAATACCAATTAAATAAATTATTAATGCTTGTCTATTTATTTTTCAATCTAATTGGTCTTATTATTTTCGAATTCATATCATTTTCACTTTGTTTATTATCTCATATCAAAAATAAACACCCATATTCGTTCTTGGAGAAGAAGACCCATGATTTGCACTCATAAATATATATATAATAAAGTAATTATATTTTTTTATCTTCAACTTTTTGTGGCTAAGACCGTTTTAATCCGATAATTTTAATTGAACTTTCATTATTTTTCCAACTCAAAGACTCTCATATCTCATTTAACTCTCTTTATCTATCTATCCATCTTATATTCTATTTCTCTCTTATACTATTATCAATTTTTTTCTCCTGTGTTATTTTTGTTATTATTTATTCCATAAAACAGATGAAACCAATGTTATCAGAACAGGACCGGTCATCGAACCGGCAAGGGGACCGGGTCAATGGTTCACTGGTTCAACCATTGAGTCAACTGATCGTATCGGTCATATAATAAAAATATATATATAATAATTATAAAACTTAATAATTTAGCTAAAAATATAAAATATGTATAAAATACATAAAATTTACCATAAAATTAATGAAATTAAGTAACAAAGTGGGGGTTATTGTATTTTAAAGCAAAGTAAAGAGGTTCAAGTAAATTATAAAAAAAATAAAGGGTGTCATTTATAATTTATCCAAGAATAAGGTTAAAAAAAATCAGCTATTTACTGATTTAGGGCAAAAAAATTTATTTATGTAATTTAATTTTTAAATAGGCATTAAACCGTCCGATTTTTATAAAATCGGCGGTTCACGATTTTTGTTAAAAATCGGCCGATTTTTCGATTTTTAGCCGGTTCGCTTCCTTAAGTGGTTCAACTAAGGAACCAGACCGGTTAGGGTCCTGATTCACGGTTGAACCGGTCCGGTTCTGATAACACTGGATGAAACTATATGTTATGCAATTATTTATTCCATAAAACTAATTGAAAGTTTTAATATGTATCTTTTCACTTTCTTCTCAATTTGTAAATAACACTTAATGTAAATAAAAAATAGCACATTAACTATAAATACCAAATAATATTCATTACAAAATAAACTTTATATTGTAAATTAATATATAATTTTATCAAAATTTGACATTTAATTTTGTCCAATTTATATTGAAATTTATTTAAACAATTTTTTGGAGTACTAAATTACATCAATTTTTTTGGGTACTAAATCAAATTTTATTAAATTTTAATTTTTTCGTACTTAATTTGGAGAATGACAATTGTAAAAATTATAAAAAAATTTTGAATAAAATTATCAATTTTCGTTAATAACATTAACGAAAGAGAGACAGAGAGGATCTCCGTGCAATGAATTTCAAATCTCAGGGGGCCTCCGTGTTATATATAAAATGTCAGGAGGTGTCCGCATAATATTTTCAAAACTCAGGAGATTCGGTGATTTATACCTTATTTTTTAATTAAACATTAACTGTGCAATTATTTATTTCATAAAACTAATTCAAAATTTTATATATCTGATGACATGTATTTTTGTCACTTGCTTCTTAATTTGTAAATAACACTTAATATAAATAAAAAATAGCACGTTGACTATAAACACAAAATAATATTCAACACGAAATGAATTATAGATTGTAAATTAATATATAATTTTATCAAAAATTAACATTTAATTTTGTCCAATTTATATTCAATTAGGTCGAATTAATATCAAATTAATTTTTATTGTTATCAAATTAATATTGATAATTATTTAACCAATTTTTTGGAGTACTAAATTATATCAATTTTTGGGTATTAAAAAAATTTTGATTTGATTTTATTAAATTTTTATTTTTTTTGGTATTGAATTTGGAGTATTGCAATTAGAAAAATAATAAATTTTTTTGGGATGAAATTATCAATTTATGTTAGTAACATTGACGGAAGGGAGATAAGGGGGTTTATGTGTAATGAATTTCAAACCTCGGGGATCTTTGTGTTATTTATAAAATGTCAGGAGGTGTTCGTATAATTTTACCAAAAATCAGGGGGTATTTGTGATTTTTACCCTATTTTTTATTTAAATATTAACTGATTATTATTTTATCTTAAAAAGTTGAATTATTGTATTTTTAATAAAAACAATTACTGGTTAGGAGGATTTGTTGGTAACAAAAAAAAAATGTGTGTGAATATGTTTCTGTGTATATTTATANATTACTGGTTAGGAGGATTTGTTGGTAACAAAAAAAAAATGTGTGTGAATATGTTTCTGTGTATATTTATATGTGGAAGATTAAACATTTAGTGATTAAATTTATAATTATTAAGGTTGAATGGTGATAGTTGTGATAAATTCACAAGTTTTATAAATGAACAAAATTTGATTGATTTTATTTATCACTTAAATATTGTGAATTTAATTGTATTCTGATATTAAATTTTTTTAACTTGATGTATTTATTACATGGGAATAGGGTGGATTAAAAATATAGTGGTTGAGATTATAATTATATTGTGTTATTGGATTGAGTGACAGTAGATGTGATAAATTCGCGACTCTTATAATTGAACAAAATTTTATTATTACTTAAAGATTGTAAATTTCAATGGGTTATGTTAGTATTTTTTTCAAACCATTTATATATATAGTGTTATTTTGAGAAATTTTTATATATTTTTATGATAATTTAATTAATATGGAGAATATGGTTGATAATATATTTCGAGTCATTTTAAAAAAAAAATTGTAAGAATAATTTTAGATCATTAATTTTGAGTTTGGACAATTATTTACAATTATTTAAGATTTTTTTGTCTATTGTCTCAATGATTAGTCAATACATATTCGACAAATTTGGGGCAAGATCAAGCTCATTGACCGGCAAGATCAAGTTCATTAACATGCCTAATCTGAAGATCATCATAACCACTACCACCACTATCCATCACTATCACTATCACCCCCACCCCCACCATTATCACTACCACTACCACCACCACCACTTCCACTATCCCCAATCATCACCGTTTGTCGCATCTTATCACCACTACTATTGTTTCACCATCACTCCTACCACCCCCAGGACCATTACATCTACCACCACCACCGGCAACCCATCACTGTCACCCCCCCCACCCTCACTGCCTCATCGCCATCATTACTACTATTGCCACCTACCACCGATTACTACTATCGTCCTCCATGTCCACCACCAACTACCATCATCATCTTATTCTTACATTTATTACTACTACCATCATCATCCCACCACCCATCGTTGCCCACCATTGCCACTAGGCACTGTCACCTACCGCACCACACTTACCACCATCAACATCACCTGTCGTCGCCCATTATTGTAGTCACTCACTGTCACCTACTACCACCCCACTTACCATTATCATCATGTTCGCCACCACCTATCACACTGTCGCCTAGAAGCACTCATCGTTGCTCACCATCACCATTATCACTGTGCACCATCACCGTCGTCGTCCCATCACCACCATTGCCAACCATCATCACCATCGTTGTCACCCACACCCACCACCATTACCATCATTGTCACCTATGGTTGTCACTACCATTATCGTCACTCAAAATCCACCACCACCATCACCATTGCCACACACAACTACTATCACCACCACGATCGTTGTCTTACCCATCACAACCATCACCGTCTTCCACTATCATTACTGTCGCCAACCACTGCTTACCCCCATTGTAATCGGTGTTTAAATTTCTTTATCTCTCCTCTATGTTTGTAATTTGATTTTGGGTATAAAAAAAAAATTGTTGACCATTTTTTATTATTATTTCATGCCTTCAGGTGCGAAAAATAACTAGTATATAAATACATTAAAAAGACCAATAGGTGAAGAGCACGTAAGTTTTAGATAATTTTAAAACCAAAAATATAAGAGCAATGTTATATGGATTTAAAAATTAAACTTGATAGTCTTAACCCTTGATTTCACTATAGGTCCCAGCATTTATTGGGACCTATTACCTATTCAATGATTGAGATTATCAAATTTAATTTTTAAATTCATCCAGTATTACTCAAAATATAAATAATGAGTACAATTGGAAGATGTAATAAATGCCAAATGGTGGGTGGTTTTCAAGCGTTTAAAACAATGTGTGTCCGCAATTGGAGGAGATATTTGTGTGAGTGTTGTCGTGAAAAAGGTTCAGGAAGGATTGGGGAATCGGAAGTAGAGGTGAAACAAATAACCGAATTAAGTTGAGGAACCGGGTAATTTTTGAAATGAGATTTTTGAGGTGTCTCCGAATCTGTAGAAAATAGATATTATTATACATGTGGTGAGAATAGAAAACCATTAAATCTCCAATGANACAGTGAAGCAGTGGGTAGTTATGGGGAATCGGAAGTAGAGGTGAAACAAATAACCGAATTAAGTTGAGAAACCGGGTAATTTTTGAAATGAGATTTTTGAGGTGTCTCCGAATCTGTAGAAAATAGNTGGGGAATCGGAAGTAGAGGTGAAACAAATAACCGAATTAAGTTGAGGAACCGGGTAATTTTTGAAATGAGATTTTTGAGGTGTCTCCGAATCTGTAGAAAATAGATATTATTATACATGTGGTGAGAATAGAAAACCATTAAATCTCCAATGATGCTAATGAAGACTATGGAATGCAAAACATTGGAAGTCTTATCCTATCATCATGTTCTTTTTTTTTTTTGTGGTCCTGATAATTGGATATTGTGCCAAAGTAAAAAGCGTGGAACCTTGAATAGTCGCCGGTGTTAGAACCGGATTCAGAGTTCTCCGTTACAATTTTTCCATCAATTTTCTTCAATGATGTGTTAGATAAATGCCAAGTGGAAGATTCTATTTTAAGGGACAAGATTTGTCCTTGTCAACGGAAGCACTTCATTTCAAACCTGTATAAATACCAAACGTAGTTATTATTTCATTTGCAGATCCACACCACCAAAGTTTATAGTCTCTCTCTTTCTCTCCCCTTTCGTGATCAATGGCTGACGGCTCGGTGGTTCCAATAGACAGAAAGGTAGTTCGGAAGTTCAAAACCGAAGAAGATGTGGCAGTGGCTCTGGCGAAATACATAGCTGATCTATCGGATAAGTTCATCAAAGTGAAAGGTTCTTTCACCGTCGTCCTCTCTGGAGGTACCCTCATCGACACCATGAGGTAACAATACTCTACCATTCTCCCTTTATTTTTCTTTTAGATTCTCAATTCACTTGTCTCTCCTTAGTTTTTATCTGTTTTGTTGGCGTCAAAGTGTAAGAATGATTTGGCAAAATTTTTAGGGAAAAAAAAACGCCCTATTTATGGATTATTGTACCATTTTCTTGTTCATAAACACTGGCTTGCTCATTGTTGATCGTTTGATGTTGGGAATTTCAGGAAATTAGTGGAGCCTCCTTACCTTCATGGGGTGGATTGGACGAAGTGGTACATCTTTTGGGTGGACGAGAGAGTAGTCCCGCTCGATAGTCCCGACAGCAACTATAAACTTGCCCACGATGGTTTTCTATCAAAGGTTCTGTTTGAGTTTGAAGAACAAATTTCTGGTTTTTATATATCCTAATTTGAACAGATATAGAAGTAGTTTGTTTTGCGTAAACTGTCAAACAATGTTTGTGCTACTATTTTATCACAATATTCTTGAAGTTTTAGTCCTGTAAAAGCCATTTAATTTGGTTTTTGGTTTGCTTTTGACAATTGACAGGTATCCATTCCTTCCCATCAGATCTATCCCATCCACTATAAACCAGGACCGCAGGGACCGGAGTTTGCAGCCAGGGATTACGAGGAACGTCTCAGAAAGTTGGTGGAGAAGAAAATCTTACCTTTATCACCGGTCACTGGGTTTCCGATATTTGATCTGATGCTGCTAGGTATGGGACCATGTGGGCATGTGGCTTCATTGTTTCCTAACCGTTCTCAACAAAATGATAAAAAGGACTGGGTCACCTTCATCACAGACTCACCAAAACCACCTCCACCAAGGATCACTTTCACCTTTCCTGTGATCAACACGGCTTCGGAGATTGCAATGGTGGTAACTGGGCTCGAGGTATCTCTTGCAACCCATGTTGCTCTGAAGAGCAAGCATCATGATTTTGGTCTGCAAGGTCCTCTACCTGTTCAAAAGGTTTCAGCAGAAGTGTTGCTGACCTGGTTTCTGGACGAAAACGCTGCTTTTCAGCAGTAGATCTGTGCATGTGCATTATTGTGCGAGTTTATGCACATGATGACATGACAAATCGGCATATGTATCTTGTATTGTGTTGCTTGTTTGGTGTGTTTGTTGCTTGGCCCTTTTGCTGTGGTGTTGGGTCACTGGGCGCTTAATTTGCTCTTTTAATAGAGGGACATATCTCCCTATGTAATTCTGTCATATATCGTGATATGCTTTAGCTTTGACAAAAATCAGTAAATGGCTTTGCTTGTTAGTCCTTGTAAGACATCATTCAAGGTGGGGGATGTCGAACGATCTAAAGAAATACGAGAGATAAGAAAAAGAGGAGGTTAGAGTTTTATTGATACTGCATAATTCAATTGAATACAAAAAAATAATTTAACCTAAATACAAAGAGACTATATATAAGCTAAACAAGACATGAAAAGTAAATGACTATTCTACCCTTAATAAATAAAATAATCCTATATTTCATAACATCTCCCCTCAAACTCACGATACAGCAGCGACAAGCATTAAGAGTTTGTCAACTAGAAAACGAAAATGGGAAATAGAATGCGACTTGGTAAAGAAATTTGTAATCTGTAAAGAAGAAAAAACAAAGGGCAAAATAATGGTGTCATGCTTGAGATGATGACAAGTAAGGTGACAATCGATCTCAATGTGTTTAGTTTGTTCATGAAAAATCGAGTTGTGAGCAATCTGAATAGAACTCTGGTTGTCACAATACATAGGAGTGGAATGAGAAAGAGAAACTCTCACATCTACAAGTAACCAACACAACCAAACAATCTCTTTGGTAGTAGATGTCATAGCACGATATTCTGCTTTGGTTGAAAATTGAGAAACAATAGATTGTTTCTTGCTCTTCCAAGAAATAAGAGAATCACCCAAAAAGATACAGAAACTAGTAACAGATTTGCGATCTGTGGGATCACTGTCATGATCAGCATCAGAGTATGCACACAGCTTCAAGGAATAAGTGGATGAAAGTAAAAGACTCTAAAAGACTGTACCCCGAAGATACCTCAAGATACAAAGAACCGCTGCCCAATGAACTGTAGTAAGAGAAGCAACAAACTGACTAACAACATATGCAATATCTGAACGAGTAATAGTGAGATATACCAAGCTCCCAACAATAGTACGGTATAAGGTAGGATCTGACAAAGGTAAACCATCAGAAGAAGAATACTTTGCGTTAACCTCAATGGGAGTATCTACAGTCTTATTATCAGTAAGTCTAGCTCGCTCAAGAATATCTGCAACATATTTCGACTGAGAAAGAAGATAACCTCTGGGTGAGCAGGCTACCTCAATATCCAAGAAATATCGTAGAGAACCAAAATCCTTCATTTCAAACTGTCTAGCTAACACTGTCTTCAAAACTGAAATACTATTAATATCATCACCAGTAATATAAAGACAGAATGATACGACCTGTATCAGTGCACTTAACAAAAAGACAGAATCATAACTACTAGAAATAAACTCAAGGGAAGAGATCACAACAGAAAATTTCTCAAACCAAGCACGAGGTGCTTGTTTGAGACCATATAACGTTTTCTTAAGCTTGCAAACATACCCAGAATCATATGAAACACCAGGAGTGGGAGCCATATAAACTTCTTCTTGAAGATCCCCATTCAAGAAGGCATTTTTAACATCAAGTTGAGAGATATGCCACTGACGAACCGAAGCAACTGCAATAAGAGTACGAATAGTAGTCATTTTTGCAACAGGAGCAAATGTCTCCTCATAATCCATACCATACTGTTGAGAGTACCCTTTTGCAACCAACCTAGCTTTGTATCGCTCAACAGATCCATCAGAATTGGTCTTAATCTTATACACCCAACGACAACCAACAACACTCTTACCAGGAGGTAGAGGAACCAAATCTCAAGTACCTGTCTTATGCAAAGCAGAAAGTTCCTCATCCATAGCTTGCTGCCAAAGAGGGTCAAGAATTGCCTCTTTATAGGAAGAGGGCTCAGAGAGACAATGAATAGAAGCTAAAAAGGAAGTAAAAGATGAAGAATAACAAGAATAAGTAAAATATGGTAACTTTGTGGACTTACGAATGCGTGTGGATTGATGTAGAGGTGGATCCACAATCTCAGACGAAGCTTGAGGGACCATAGGAGAGAAGGTAGCTTCAGGTGTGCTAGAGAGTAAAGTGTTAGCACCTGTAGAATGATCAGTGCTGGTATTTGAAGTACTAGAAACCTGAGATGACAAACTATCAGAATCCTCAGAAAAATGATCTATACGAATAAGATCAGATCTAATCAAGCTATAAGTAGTGGATGTAATAGAAAAGAAAGGTATATGCTCAAGAAACACAACATGACGAGACACAAAGTTTTTGAGTTATTAGATCAAAACAATGATACCCATTTTTACTTTCACCATAACCAAGAAAGACACAAATAACAGATCAAGAGAATAGTTTGTTGCGTCCAACATGAAGACGAAGAACGAAACAAGTACAACCAAAAACTCTAAATGAAGAATAATCAGGGGCATACCCATACAACTTTTCAAAAGGAGAAACACCTGAAATATGAGAAGATGAAATTGTATTAATCAAACCTATAGCAGTAAGAACAGCTTCACCCCAAAACTCACTAGGAACAGAAGAAGACAACAAGAGAGAACAAGCAGTTTCAACAATGTGCCTATGTTTTCTTTCAGCAGCACCATTTTACTTCAGGAGTATCTGTACACGAAATTTGGTGAATAGTTCCATCTAAGGCAAGCAACTCATCAAATTTATTAGAAGTGTATTCCCCACCCAAATCACACCTAAAATATTTGATAATAGCAGAATGTTGAGCTTTGACAAGAGCTCAAAAGACTGTATATACCTCAAAGAATTCAGAACGATGTTTCATTAAATAAATCCAACAATAACGAATATGATCATCAATAAAAAAAAATATAATATCTAAACCCTCCTTTTGTGGCAATAGGAAAAGGTCTCTATACATCAGAATGAATCAAATCAAATGGAGAAGAAGGAACAAAAATACTTTGATTAAAACGTAAAACTACAAATTTTGCTAATTTACATCCACTACAATCAAAAATATCACAAGTTTGCAAATTTCCTAAAGCCTCTGTGAATGCCAAAAATCTCAAACGAGAAGACGAAACATGACCTAAACGAAAATGTTGTAAATAAAAATTAGAAGAAGAAGGACAAAAACGAAAAGAAGATAAATCAACACTAGTAGCAGCAGCAGTAGCAACTGACACTTTTAACTCATCCAAAATATATAGTCCCCCTTTCTTACGGCCTATCACAATCAGCTTCTGAGACTGCAGATCCTGCACATAACAAAAAAAAGAGGAAAATGTGACTAAATTTTCAGAATCACATAACTGACCAACAGAAGCAAGATTTAATGTGAGTTTTAGAATATGAAAAAAATTAGGGAGAGACAAGTGAGGTGTGACAACAGAACCAACACCTGGTAAAGGCATAGGAGTGCCATCAGCAGTCATAACAGGAATAGAAGATGAAGGACATACAGAAGCAAAAGATGAAGAATCTGGAGACATATGATGTGAAGCACTAGAATCCAAGACCTATACAGAATGTGACATACCTGGAGAACTATGAGACAACTGACCTCCTGAAGAAGAAGCAGACATAGCTTGTGGCTGTAAGGAAATAAACTTCTGAAATTGCTCAGCCAAGGTACTAGAATCGGTGAAAGGACCTGATAAAACTACTGCTGCAGTATTAGATTGTGATGGTTTGTAACCTTGAGGTGGTCTAGAAGCCTTAGATTGTGACTGGTTGCCAGACTTCCAAGCTTGAGATTGCTGCTGCGATTGATTCTGCTGTCTTAACTTAGGACATTGAGCCTTACAATGACCTTTCTACTTACAGAAATTGCACTCGTCAAAGGCAGGCCTTGTGTAAGGCTTATTCTGATTATGAGAGAATGGTTTAGAAGGTACTGCTAGCACAGAAGGATCAGAAGTAGAAAGAATTTCCCTGTCAGAATAAGACTTAAGACGTATCTCTTCAGCCAATAAATCACTGACAACTGAATCAACAGAAGGAAGTGGAGAACGATGCAAAATTGAACCTCTAAGTCCTTCAAAATCACTACAAAGTGTCATTAAAAACTGTATCAACCGTTGTTGCTCTCTACGAGCAATATAGGCACCACATGCCTTTAATTCAGTCGATTCTGTAAGAGTCAATTGATTCCAAAGATCTGTCATAGCAGAATAAAACTCATGAATACTCATATTCTTCTGCTGAAGAGCTCGTATGTCATACTCCAATTGATACTGCTTTGCAAAATTTGATTGAGTGAATAACCTTTGCAGATGATCCCAAACCTCATTTGTTGTCTCATACTTTGTCAACTGCGTACCTATAGAATGCTCAACAGAATTGTTGATCCAAGTAATAATTTTTGCATTGTCTGCTTCCCAGACATCTATCAAATCAGCATAACCCGCATCAGTATTCTTAAGTTTCACAGAAATTCCACTAACATATCCCCATAGTTTTTTACCCTTAAGAAAAAATTTTCATCACATAATTTCAATACGAATAATTCTTTCCATCCAACCTCACACTCACAGACTGAAGCGAATCGTCTCTTGTAGTAGCCATAATCAACAAACAAAGAAAACCAGATTGTAAAAACGGAACAAATACCAGAATCCAAAAATGGAACAAATACCAGATTGCAAAAATGGAACAAATACCAAATTGCTTAAACGAAACNGAAACAAATACCAGATTGCTTAAACGGAACAAATACCTTCTCAAAAAAAAATTGTGTTTGAGATTAAGCCTTGTCCCATGAAACTTTGCTCTGATACTATGTTGAACAATCTAAATAAATACAAGAGATAAGAAAAAGAGAAGGTTAGGGTTGTATTGATACCGCATAATTCAATTAAATATAAAAAAGTAATTTAATTTAAATACAAAAAGATTATATATAAGTTAAACAAGGCAGAAAAATTAAAAGACTATTTTACCCTTAATAAACAAAATAACCATATATATTTCTTAACAGGGGAAGGGGGACAGCATTTTGGGGAGGATAGAAAGATGAAATATATGAGTGATATATTTTTTATATTTTTTTTTGTTAGGAGAGATGAAAAATAAGAATTGTACATAATATGTAAAAATTGTAGATACATATTTTACTATTATAGATATGTATGAAATTAATGAGTACATAATATGTAATATATAAATAGATATCACAATTACAAACAATATTTTCAAAAAAATGGAGCATTAAGTAAAAGGAAACTTGTAATTTGCTG